CTCACAATGAGACAACTGCCCCCTTTTTTGTCATGAGGGGACATATTGTCTCCTTTAAGGCTGACCCTCTCCTTTCAGGCTGGGTTATTTTATAATTTTATTTTATGAATATAATAACAGGGAGGTCAATAAAACAGAGGAATTTATTCAGTCCTAACAGAGCTGGCAATAATAATAATAATTCCTGAAGTGCAGGCAGAAGTTCAAAAGAAAAAGATCTTCCCCAGCTTTGAAAATCCAAAATAAATTATTTCTAATTTTTTTCCCCCTCAAGTACTTGGCAGGCCTGGCAGTGTAATAATTGGAATTTATTTTAAAACCCGCTTTTTGTTGTTAAGGGGCAAAATAAATGTGTGTTGTTGCTGAGGTGGGCTGTGGGGTGGAGGGTTATTCTATCGTTTGTCTTTTTTTACTATTTTTATTTCTTTTATATTGTGTTTTTATGTCCTGGTAAAGCTGCCTTGTGCGAGCGTTGGCAGCAATACGAATTTCCTAACTAAAATAAAAACAAATAAATAAAACCAGAAGGGGAAGGAAGGCGCGTTGGATACTTTCACGGCCTTCCATTGTTTGTGATGTCTAATAAAGGCTGGATACAAATTAAAATAAAATAAAATTATAAAATAACCCAGCCTGAAAGGAGAGGGTCAGCCTTAAAGGAGACAATATGTCCCCTCATGACAAAAAAGGGGGCAGTTGTCTCATTGTGAGGCCTTTTTTTTATCATAAATTATATATGATGCAAAGCTTTGATGACGATAATAAAAGCTAGTTGGTATGGTAGTTAAGGTGTTGGCAGAACAGTTTGTGATTGTGAAATTTGGATGGGTGACTTTGGGCTAATCCCTCTCTCAGAAGAAACTTGCAGGGTTATTTTGTGGAAAATAGGTGGCAGGAGTATTAAGTATGTTTGCCACTTTGAATATAGAGAAAGGGAAAAAAAGATGGGATAAAAATCTAATAATGACAGTAATAGTGATAAGGAAAGAAAAGGCATGAAAAAAATGATGCTGTAAACAGAACAGTTCGAAAAACATTTAACAATATTCAAATATTCTTTGATGCCCTCCCACAAATTTCAAGTTTTGAATTAAGTGGCAAGAAATTTAATGAAAGGAAAACACACCATTAATAATAACTTGTGACTTAATGGTTGAATACACCTGGCTTCATTTTAACCACTCGTTCAACTGTTCTAAAAATGCTTCTTCTTTTCTCTCTTCCAACTTCTAGTCGAAGAATCATGCTTACCAAAGAGAGAAGAAAACAGAAGGTAACTAATGATTACAATTTTAAAAATACGCGTAAGCTAGAAATCTTCATCATCCTCATTGTTGTCATTGCAATAATTTTATAATAAAAAAAACTTATGAATCAAATGCGGACGTTTGCATATTCTATAACAATGGAGCCGTGGTAGCTATTTTCAGATATATTGATATATTTTAAAATCATCAATCATTGTTGTGCAGATGTTTAACTAGATCTAAGAAAATTCAGGAATCTACTGTAAGATCCTGTGTGATTTTTGACCCATCACAGTTCTCTTAGTTTAACCACAACAGAAGGTTGCCGTTGTACCCTTCATGTCCATGTTAGTTTCTAAGAGGAAAAGTCAAAAATCAATCATATCAATATCTATCTATCTATCTATCTATCTATCTATCTATCTATCTATCTATCTATCTATCTATCTATCAGTGGTGGGTTTCAAAAATTGTTCGAACCTACTCT